GAGAAAGGATGTACGCCCGAAGGAACATAGGAGAAAGGGAGATAGATTAAAACATCGTGTCATCACGGCTTATTGTAAAATCATTAAGGACGCATTTTCGGAGAAGGCGTGCCCGCGAGAAGGCGCTACAAGATGGGTGCTTTCTGTTTAGTGAGATTTGGTGAAAGTTAAAATCATTTCCGGGAGTAGCAAATTGACATGTTATTTATTGTTAGTTAATGAGCCATGAATTAAGGATTTGTAGTAGTTTTACGCAATTCCTAAATGTAACTTAGTAAAGGATAAACACTAATTTTATAAAATGATTGAATTGTGCAGAATTCAATAATCTTAAACTGCCTCAAAGTAATGCAAATGTAAAAATGATTTATAATGCACAAACTATAGAGAAAGTCAAGGTTTAATATTTCTTTCCCAACTATCAATTTACACAAGATTACACAATGACATTAAGTTAATCAAACAGTGTTCCAAAGCATTGAAAATTTACACCAAAGGTGTACGCCTAACCCCAAAATTGATTTGCGTATAGTATTGACAACATGATAGATGAAAACAGAGACTTAAAAACGCGTACAGAGAGAGAGGGTGAGAGGGAGAGAGAGAGAGAGAGAGAGAGAGAGAAGAAAGGGAGAGGGAAAAAGTGAAGAGATATGGACGAGAGAGATATAAAGACAGACAGACAAATAGACAGAGAAATGAGGGGTAGTGGGCAGAAAACGGGTATAATAGAAGAAGACCAAAAGATAGCAAACTAAACCTGAAGATAATAAAGAGAAAGAGGGTGAGCGCGCTTGTTTTGTAGATGTGTTGGAGAGAAAAAGGGGGAGAAAAGTTTTGTGCATGTGAGAGAGAGACAGAGAGAAAGAGAGAGAGAGAGAGAGAGAGATTTTAGGGAGAAGGGAAAAGAAGAGAGAGAGAGGAAGTGGGTGAGAAGGAGAGGGGTTGGGAGAGAAAGAAAGAGAGAGTGTGCTTTTGTGTAGTTGTGCGATAGAGATAAAGAGCGTGTGTATAAAGGGAGACAGAGAGAGAAAGATAGTTTTGATGGAGACGGGAGGAGAGAGAGAAATAGAGGGGGTCCCAAAGGTTTTTTAATGGCGACGATGAAGTCGATAACATTTTATATGGAAAACCTCTGTCGATGCATATACATGTACATGCGTAAATATCAGTATTTCTCAAGACATATTCAACCATTAAAAATGCGATAAATTTGTGTTATAAAGGGGAAAATAGGAAATTTCCTCTCTTTTTTCATATAATCTTATTTTATTTTGTATCATCATAATTATGTGGGAGTGGCGTATGGTTTAACGCAGAAGATAGAAAGAATGGAATTTTATTTTCGTGCTGTCATTCTGGACACGTTATAGAAGGTAATAACGTGGTTAAAGTAACTGGAATACAGATTGCTATATATACCTTGTATATTCTTCTGGTTTTTAATGTGGAAAATAAATGAAATGAAAATATGTCATGCGTGGCTGACTATAACAGACACGTTCCTCATTCCACATTTTTATTAAAATAACATAAGTTTTTATTAAGCTGCAACACTAGAAATCGAGATTTTACTGGTTACCTTTAAAAGGTTTGACCAACAAAAACAAAAAAATACACAAAAAGGGAGAAAGACAGAGAGAGGGATAGAGAGAAAGGAAGAAAGATAGACGGATGGAAAGCAGAGAGAAAGGGGATGAGAGATATTAGGCCCTAAAGATGGAGAAAGGAGTTAGTGCCGATGGGGGACAGCCCTTTTCTGTACATCTCAAAAAAACATGTTATCATGACTGTATTATAATAAGTTAATAAGTTATAACAAATCCTATTGTCAGGCCAGAACGGAATAAACGTAGGTCTAGTTGTTATCGTTTAAGTGAATAATATATTAGTATATTCTTCATGCAAAAAAAGAAAGAAGAGGAATTGTAATCAGGTGCGGTCACTCTACACCTTTTTATTCAGTGCAATTTGGTCGGATAAACCGAATACAGATTGCAACATGCCATGCTTGAATAGTTACGGTGGACAGTCTTCTTTGAATTCCGATGACCGCTTCTACTATCACCCGATCTGAAGACCGTTCATCGCACACTCTTATCTATTAACACCCTCCCCCGCTCATGGCGCTTTTAGAAATCGCTTTGTATATCCCCCCCCCCCGAAAAAAAAACCCGCCCCCTCTCTCTTTCACTACTTTCTCTCTCTCTCTCTCTCTCTCTCTCTCTCTCTCTTTCTCTTCCTTTATTCCAATCTGTATCTTCGTTCTATATACCCATTTTTGTATCTCTTTCTCTCTCTCTCTCTCTATCTATCTTTATCTTCATCATTTTCTCTTTTATGTCTGTCTCCCAGTTTACTTTTGCAGACTACTCCCCTCAATCGTTTAATGTTAAAGGGGTGTAAATACATTGTTTTACCCATCTATAGATAATTCTTTTGACGACAGTCATAAAATGATCATACGATTCGAAAATAGCACTTTAATAACCTTTCATCAAGGAAATTGTCACAGTATTTGGAACTTGTCAACAGTTGCAATATTATCAATCGCGAAGTTTCAATAGAAACATTGCTTGAATTAACAATACATATCCGCTAACTTTCCACCCTATAACTTACAGTAATATATGTAGATCAAAATCATAAACAGGCCATGAATCTATGCAATGTGTTTTCTTTGTAGTATTAATATGCACGCCGAAAGAAATTTATTAAAATGTACTTCTTTAATAAGGAATGACAAATTTCCTTTCTATAGCGACGTCTTTATAGGGTGGAGTTACAAATGTATCCTTTTATTTAAGACAAAGAAGTATCCATTTATCAGACATGTTGCAGTGGAAATTAAATCAAATTTGTTACCGAATAGCATTAATATTGATATCGAGAACAAAGTATTCACATTATGATCTTCATTCACGCTATTGGAGTGAGAGAAAAATAGAATATTATTTTTAATGCAAATGTGGAAATAAAGTCAATTCAAATTCAATACAATATTTAAAATAATAGTAATAAAGATGTTGTTCACCCAGTGAAGCCTCATCGGCATCAATCGTCCTGATGGCCCTGCGTGTGTGTGTGTGTGTGTGTGTGTGTGTGTGTATGTGGGCGTGAGCGCACGTGTGGGTGTGTTCATAGTCATGGTGTAAGTGCGTGTGTGTTGGTGTATGTATGTGTGTGCGCGTGTAGGTGGGTGTGTAAGTCATGGTGTTAGAGCGTGCGTGTGTGTATGTGTGTGTGGTTGTGTTAGACATGGTGTAAGTGCGTGTGTGTGGATGGGTGTGTTGATGTGTTAATCATGGTTTAAGTGAGTGTAATTGTGGGTGGGGTGTGTGTGTGTGTGTGTGTGTTTGTAATGGTGTGTGTTTTTTTAAACTCGTCGGTTCGTCTGGACTAAAATATCATTGCTCAAAACTAATTTACTTATTTCTAGTTGTGTATTTATCATTTGTATTCACATATTCAAATGAAATGTAGTTTGTGTTGATGGAATCGAATAAGGATCACTGGGGGGGGGGGTATTCTACTAATTCAGTTAGACCCAACCCTGTGTCGAAATTCCGTTTTTAACGAAAATAAAACGTAAACGAAACCTAAAGAAAAAATTTAGTAAAATACGAGCCACATCGTAAATCAGCACAAAGTCTGTTTTACTTTGTAATCATCTTTGTCAATTTAAATAAAATCGAATTGAATGATCTCCTGATCTGAAACAAAATAGAAGATACTAAGAGTAATTGGAGTATTATAATACCGGCACACTTAAGAATAAAGAAGGCCTTGCTCAATTAGCCGTAGTTAATGGTTCATCGATTTTTAGTGCATATCGATAATTCGGTAGGTTAATTGCAATGCAGCAGCTCTGGGGTATTTGGCATTAATTATTGGTGTCTGGCATTTCCTTTGTCCTCGTTCTGTCATCATATTTTGGGGAATGAGGGTCAATATTTAGGAAGGCAATGACTGGCACTGCCGAAAGATATGACGATCAGTTGATTTCTACTAATGGTGCTTTTTATATATTTTCATGTGGACACCGAATAGATCACTGTGCGTTAATGTTTGTATTTTTAAATGCCTGAAAAGCAAAGGCAAATTTTAAGCAAAATGATAATCGTATAAAGGTCTTTAATATAAAACTTTACCTCTGATTTTTTTTATAATGTATAGCAAATTGACGATATAAATAAAATAGACAAGACTACCCTGATAAACCAAATAATCTGAAAACGTGTTTTTCTTGTCATTTTTTCAGATACGACCACATATTAGGACATTTCCCAGTAATAGGCTATTATCATTTATAACATTATCGTTCATTAGTTTATTTTCACAATCTGTGTCTTGTTTTTGAAGCATTTAAATTCTTTTTTTTTTTTGGTTAATGTATGTATATTCATAAATAACATATCATCGATCAGTATAGAACTAAATTTTCAGAAAAATGTACATGTAAATTGGAAGATTTTACCTCTCTCTAGGTACATCTACAATGTCTACGCATATCAAGTTGAATACGAAAAAAATTGTTACATCCAATCGAAGTGCGTATTTAAATATATATATCTGCAGTACAGACACAATTACACAAATCAGGGTTCAGACAAAGGGATTCTAATTTCGACTTTATCTTTTCTCAAAATTCCTACTTTTTACGATCATCTTGACATCAACTTTCTAACCCCATTGAATTGTAATACTGTCAATAATACACGAACAGCTGGCAATTACTTCTTTTACACCACCTCCGCTCTTAAATTGTTATTTTTATTGGTCTTTGCAGACTTGCACATTAATTATTCATGAGCGTGTATTGTGTTTTCCTCTCTCCTCTCCTCCCATCCATTTTCACGTCATACATCTTTCATCATACGTTTACCCGTCTAGAATATTGATTTCTGTAGCCATTCACTGCGCGCGTTACTCAAGATCCATTTTTTTTCTCTGCTGACATTCTCGCATCGAATCGCTAGTTGGGGACTTTAAAGAAGAAAACCTGTGTATTTCGTGTTTCGAATGTAAACGGTGGGTTCCATCAGCCGACATGGCGAAAATCATTATTTGCTGATGCTATCTTCTTCATCTTGCTTTCCTTCTGGAGCATGTAATTCTATTTGGAGCATCTGGAAATGCGTACGCACGCCAAAATCGTTGAATGGTTTCTACGCGGACGCCACTGAATTACACGAATCCGCCGGTGCTTCGCACCCACACACACTCTCACACACACAATACACACTCGCTCTCTCTCCATTGATACCCACACACACGCTCGCATGGGCGCTCTCGCATTAAAACGCACTCTCCGGGTGGCTTCCACATGAGGCATGGGCATTCTTATGCATATAGTGTAGCGTGCACGTTGAGATTGCTGGGCCGTGTCCAAGAAAACACGGAAAGCATCATTTTGGACATATCATTCGGAATATATTCATGAACGTCTCGCATCAGCTTATTCGCTTTATTTGAGGGATATACTTGAAATTGCATCTAGTGCGAGATGGATGCTTATGGGTTCTCGTATAAGGCGCCACAATGGAAGGCAAAATTAAAATCATCCTGCCAAGGTCTTTTTGATATATACTCCGCCGTGCAGGATTTCATCGTCCCTAAGTATTACTACGACCGCTCTAATCGGTAAGTACTCTAAAATGATCATAGCCACATACCCCTTCAAACCCCTCCAGGAGCAGCCTTTATTTAAAATGGTATAGGTATATCTTTTATTTTTGTCTTGTTACGAATATGTTGTCAGTGTTGATAAAGTTTATTGATTGTAGAGATGTTAAAAAATAATGATGGATGTCTTGAAACGGTAGAGCAATGGTCAATGGTTGACAGTGTATGCTCTAAGGTGGTCTCTTCCAGTGTCAGGGACTGCATCTTCTCGCTCACTATACCGCAGGTGGTTGGTAGTGATGGTGTGAAAGTGAAAGTGTCATGGAAGAGATTATGGTGATGGTGATAGTGATTATGTTGACAATGGTAACCGTGGTAATCGGGTTATGATATGCTGATGAAGATGATGTTGATGATAATGATGCTGATGCTAATTTTGTGATGCTAGTGATGATGTTGATTATGATATCATGTTGGGAGAAAATATGGTGAGCTTCATTATGTTCATGGATGTGATGATGATCACGATTTAAGTGACGCTATCATTAACTGACGATGCTTAGGATGCTTATATAGTACTGATGAGATTTTGTGAGATGGTGATGGAGATGGTGTTGATGATGAGAATGTATACACTGTCCCAATGGTAAAGGTGATGGGTTTGATAACGATAATGATGGTAGTTATGGTGATCACAGTGATGATGGATGTTTTTGTGATGATAGTGATGGTCGTCATTGCTATGGTAATGGCAGATGGTTATTTGATTATTTGATGGGTGATTTAAGCAACGGTTGTTGTGATGGTGATGATGATGTTCATGATGGTGATGGGCGATGTTAGTCCGGGTTTGTTGTGACAGTCGTTTTAATGGTGATGGTGTCGGTGATGATGATGGCGTTGGAAATGAGAATGGCAGTGATTAAATGATAATTTCAATGACAAAGGAAATGGTCTGGGGTCAAAGATGAAGAAGCTGGTGATTATAATTTCATTTGCTAACGTCTCACTGACATTGAGAGTATCAAAATAGTTTTTTATTCATTTTTCAAAAATGTTAATGTAGTAGACATACGAGTAAAAGGGTTATTATACTGATGAGTTTTCGCATTCATTCGTCTTAGTAGTCTTCACCTAACATCATGCGTATATTTTCCTTTAACAGACCAATTAGTATTAGCTCAAACTGACAGAAAAATATGTGAATCACTTCATGATAAAAACTAAAATGTTCGTTTTATTTTCTGCTTTTAGAAGATCTAATACACTCTACGCGACATAGAAATGTATAAGTTAATGAAAATAGACGAGCTTAAATAAAATCTAATCCAGCATTTGTCAAAATTTGTCTTTAGTCAAAACGAAAATACATTTTAAAAAAAAACGATTTCCTCTGCTCGCTATAGAGCTACCGTGAATATCCAATTGAAGTTTAACCATTTCAGGAAATACATTTTCCAAATCAAAAGCAATTATGATTAATGGAGCATGGTCTAATAATTTGTTTATGAATCATTTTGTCGTCGGTTTGATGAATGTGGTGTTCTATTTGCGGCTGTAAAACACTTTGAGAGGAAGGGAAGGTACTTCTAACACTGGAGTAGCCTAGATCCAGATATTCATTGGATACTGGTGTCATTTGGGTGGGGGTGTGGGAAGGAGATTGTATCAACGTGTTGACATTATCCTGCTCCTCCCTCCCTCCCTCTCTCCTACCCTCCCCTCTCCCTTTCTCTTTCTTTCGTTCCCTTTCTTTTGTTCCCTTATTCGATATTCGATTGGAGGCATCGATCTGCCCCTATGCTCTCATGCCCCTCCCCCTCCCCCTCCTCACGCGTAGTTTTGCTTGGGTCGATAAACTAAAATCATTGCATCGACGTTATTTGTGCTCCCTCTAGATACTAGTTGAAATTACTTGGTAGCTGACAATGGTTTGAATTTTGCTCAGATAGCAGACTGGACAATTGTATTATTAACAATATCTACCTTTCGATCATAGATTGCTATAAGCGGAAAACTCTCTCGTTTTTTTTTCTTCATTAGTTTGTTTAGCGACCACCTGTCAATGTCTATAAAGATAACAATTTTTATTTTCCTTAATTAAACAGACTTTGCCAGTAGTACTCGTATAACAGAAACCTGTACATAAGGACCTCCTGCCTATAAAGGCCACTTTTATTTTCTACCCTGAATTCTTTACATAGGCAGGTCTCACTGGATTTCATAATTTGATTTTTCTCACTAATCGTTATGTTCTCTAATAACGATAACATCTGACATCAATCGAGTCAGAATATTAACATGACGTCTGAATATACCGCCCAAACTTAAGACCAGTCATGTTTATACCATTGCGTATTATACCCGCTAGCGTTTGGAAATCATTATTTCATTCAGACAGCTTAAAAACCAATACCCAATCCTTCGCATCGTATAGAACGTGAACTTTCACATTTCGATCGGCAATCTTTTCCCGCGCATCCCGTAGTTGGCGACTAATTGGAATCCATTAATGGGTAGATTGTACGTCAGATAAAAAGTCTTCTCGAGTGAGTGAGCGTAGGTTTCATTGTTCTGCATTTTAAATGATTTAAGGAGAACATTAATTATGTATTTGAACTTGATCGGCTAGCAGTGTGTATATAAAGTCATATTTCATTTTATTGTCGTATGTACTGTTTTATATATTTTAACGTACTGATATTCTGATTTGAAGGGTTAGTGATAAAGTTACAATAATGTCTAGATAGATTTAGATCACGATCGCATAGACTTTCAAGAAATCAAGCTAAGGCAATTTCATGAGATTGTGCGACACCTTTTGAAATGTGTGAATAATGACAACGACCTATTACAATGGCACACTATTGACTATAACTATAACTAGGCGTTGTGGTGTGCGCCTGTAAGCCAGCTAAAAGTGGAAGTTACAAACTGATTCAGCCGAGGACGCAGGTTCGAAACTGAGTCAAGTCTTTCGAATGGTGACGTTTAAAGGTCGGTCTTCAGACGTAAATAATCAGATCTGATTGATACATGTCTGTAAAAACCCAATACACACACACACACACACACACACACACACATTACGTAATCCCACCATTGATTCTAATTACGATTGGATAGTGATATTGCCCTTGACAAGTCATGATATCTCGAGAGTCTTTGCAATCTTGACCTAAATTCAAAGGCAAGGTACCGCAGCTCGCCCTACCCCTCTCGAATATTTAAACTACCAATATTATGGGCAAGAAGGTTGTCTCTTTGTTTAATTTCCATATCAACAAAGTTACATTAAAGTGCTAAAAATTGAGTCAGTTTGCATCAATTGTTGGTGTCAATATAAAATACATGAGTGTACAAAGATTTTCTTGCTAACAACATTATGAAGCCGACAAATTTATTTTCAGGCAAGTCTAGAGACGCAACGTGAACTGCCACTTTCGACATTTACCTTATGGGATTATACCCATGGACAACTGCATCTTGGACAACTTCCTTCTAAGACAACTTTCCTATATGGCATCTACGCCTGGACAATATTTATTTTATTCTTTGAAAAAGAGAGAAAAGGGGAAGGGGTCCTTAGTTAACAATACGAGAAAGGTAGTTTATAATATTGACAGAGGTGAAATCGCTTCCCGATAGAGGCTAGATGTCGGAGTTAATTAATCTCAGGTGGTCCTGGAATAGGTGTCTAGCTGGGTCCTGTCTTACAAAGAGTTGATATCAATCGCAACTTATTTGCGATTGATACCGACTGATCTTGGGCTACAGCCCATGAGACCGGTCTTGTAGGCCCTCTATTAACTTTTGTTTAGGGTTCATCAGACTGACATGTTATCGGTCTCTTAGGCTGTTGGTTTCGTAGACCATCGATCTCGTAGGCAGTCGGTCTCGTGGTCTGTTGGTTTACCGATATGTCCCGCTGATTGTTACTATGCCTAGAGCATGGCATTAACCGGCGCGTGAGGCTCAATGCTGTAGAAGGTGGACGTTTAACCTTTGTGTGCCCTTTCCAGAAAAATGTCATAAATATTTGATTGATATAATTAAGGTGGGTGGATGCATTGAGGATGAAATTAACTCGGTCTTTATAGACTTTATTGTAAGTTGCATTGAACCGTTCGTGTTAAATGACTTATTGGCAGACCTAGTGGCGTAGCGCGTATGTGGATATGGAGGCTACACCACTGTATGCCGCTTATGAAATTATTGGTTAAGTGTGTAATCCGAAATGACTTTCTGAACGGCCTTCAGTGGTAATGTTTGATGAGTAGGTCTATATCGTGATAATCATGTCACTCTATATAGCCTTCTCTACATAGATCACCACATGTCAGACATCAATGTATACATGCTCGGATGACGTAATAAAGGATAAACAAAATGAGTCAGTGCACTGATCAGTCGCGATGTACTGCATTTTGTTTAAAGGTCCTCTTTAACCTTTAAAATCGCACTAAAGCTCTACCCCAAATTAACCCCGCAGCCTATGCAGTAGCAGTTCTGAGGGGATTGGGGTTGGGCTCAACACCCCCCCCCCCCCTCACCAAAAAGAAGCAAAAAAATCTTGATAAGAAAATGAAGGCTAAACCCCCAAGCCCACACCCCCCCCCCCCCCACCCCACCTATAAAAAAAAGACCAAAATGTCTATCAATATATCTATCTATGCCACTGTAAGGGCATTGTGGTTCTATTACAGCTAAAGACCTGGGTTCAATTCGACTCAAGGCAAAAGCAAATTTTACAAATCTCTGCACACAAAATATCCGTTTTTACTAAGACGGTCAATAGAAACCTATGCATTCTCCCATTTTCTTCCACAGTATAGTATTAATGACTGCTTTGAGAGAAATAGTTGTTTTTATACGCTCAAGGGAAGGTTACAATTGTGCTATTGCCCCGAGGCGTGCCGAGGGCAATAGCCCAATTGTAACCTTCCCGAGAAAAAAAAAAACATTTTTTAACATGTAAACCTATGGGGTAACCATGGAGACTGAACTTTTTTCCCGGT